AGCGAACTTGTTGCCATATTTGGATTCTGGTAAAGGACCTATCAAATGGTTTAATTGGGGTTGGCGTTAAAATTAAATTTTCTTTTACTTTAGCTTTGACTTTATTCAAAAGACATTTTTCGCAGTTTTTGACAAATTTCGCAGTATAGCGGGTCATGTGTTTCCAATAATGCATTTAATATTGTGATTGCTGGCTTCATGTTCTAGCCTCGAAAATAAATCCTCCGAATTCATTATTTCGTTAGCAGTCTCAACATTAATTAACTCGAGTTTCTTATGTTTTATATGCGCATAAATTTTTAAAGTTGAAATTTCATTATTATTATAATAAACTATAAGTGATCTAATACGCGGGAGCTTTTTTGAAAAATTGTATGCAAATTTGTCGTAAACTTTTACTGTCTGAGTTAAGTTGTCTGTTTAATCCTTGTTTCGTAAGTCTTTACCGTACCGTTGTTTCGTCCTTGCTCTGGTTTTAACTGCAATAACATGCTTCGTCGATTCCCTGATTTCATCCAAATGAATGCGTGAAAGTGCATTTGCACCTACGTTTGCTTTACCCTTAATGTACTCGATGGTGAAATTGTATTCGGCTAATTCAAGCCGTATTCTTGCTAGTTTTGAGGCTGGATCCTTCATATTGAATAAATAAACTAAAGGCCTATGGTCCGATTTAACAATGAAATGAGTTCCGTAAACGTAGGGTAGAAATTGTTTGATTGCAAAATAGATGGCAAAAAGTTCTAATTCTATAATTGGTGTTGCCGCTAAATATTAGTACATTTACAACTTAATACTTAATATTACACCACTGTAAATTATCTAAGCATAGATCTCACAATTGAGTTATTTATATGCATATATGTATAAATGGTCACCGTTAGGTATGAGCTTATGTACACCTATTCTATTTTAGTGAAGTTCTGCTATATATACAGCCGTGAATTTAAACGGTATGGTTCTTTGTATATGAAATGTTAAAGAGGCGTCAAGCTCACAAATATTTTTAAAGCGCAACGCGAAGAAACGCATCGCTAATAAAAAGTTATTAAAGTTCGCTAAAAAAGTTGTGTGTCTTGTTTATTAATCGCGAAAAACGCGCAGAGCAAGTTAAAATGCCAAAAGAATATAATTGCAAAAAATGCATACGGGAAGACAATGACCAAATGGTGCAGTGCGATTTGTGTGACCGGTGGTTCCATTACGATTGCGTTGGAGTAAATAGATAATAGCAGATATGAGCTGGAGTTGTAATATTTGCGAGACCTCGCAACCAGCCTTTACTGCGACGAGCACCTGTGCTCCTCCGGCAGCGAGTAATGAAACGTCCACTGCGATATCAGCACAACCACAAGCGTCATCATCGCCCAGTATTAGAACATCTAGTGATACTTCTTCGGCCGCGGTAAATATGGATAATCAACAACCAACAGATTGGCCTGGTTCATCGTTGGTAAATAAGCATAAAGTTCCGACCGCATCGACGTCAGTGTCAACGATCGTCACCTCTACGGCGCATCATGCAATTCCCGCAGTATTACATCCAGCGAAATCGCTTGCACTCGTAGAGCAGACTACCGCACGTCAAAACGACGAGATTGGGCTAGCGACATTGGGTACAGGCTACCGGCAATAGGTTGAGCAACATCCCATGTCATGAACAACTAACAATGCCGTTCCAAGAAGCAGCGAGAATTACACTCAACAACATATGCTGCAATTGGAGCTATTGGAAGAGGAGAAGAAAATTGAGCAGAAATATTTGCAGAGAAAGTATGAAATATTGAGTCAAAGTGCTGGGTCGCTCATTGGAAATAGTCATCTGACAGCCTCTCCGACCCCTTCACAGCTTGCAGCTAGACAGGTGATCCCGAAAGATTTACCGTTTTTTAGTGGAAATCCAGACGACTGGCCGCTGTTCATAAGCAACTACGAGAACAGCACCGAAGTTGCGGGATACACGAACGCGGAGAATCTCATGCGCTTGCAAAGGAGTCTGAAGGGCAAAGCGCTAGAGATGGTATGCTGTAAACTTCTCTTGCCGTCAATGGTTCCTGAAATAATTCAAACACTCAAAATGTGCTTCGACGACCGGAGCATATCCTTGAATCGCTGATCGAAAAAGCCAGGCGTATTCCGCCGCCAAAAGAAAAGCTTGACTGTTTCATCGAATTCGCCTTGGGTGTGCGAAACATCTGCTCTACCATGGAGGCTTGCCATATGGAAGCACACTTAAATAATCCCATGCTGGTTAGAAAATTTGTTGATAAGCTGCCCAATCAACACAAATTGAATTGGGCTAGTGCAGCTACGCGATGAACGAGTGCCTGTCATGAAGCCGTTTGCCGATTGGATTTTTCTAATCGCTGAAGCTGCGAGCAAAGTAGTTCCGCCGTGTGTTTCCAAAAAAAGCGCTTCGATTAACATGCATACACAATCGTTACGAACGGCCAACCATGGTAAGGCAACATGTTATGCATGTAAATGTGATGACCCCAAAATTCAGAATTGCGACGTATTTAAAAAATTCAGCACAGAAAAAAAATGGGATGTAGTAAAGGAAAACAAATTATGTCGCCAATGCCTAAACGCGCACCGTCGCAGATGCTCCTTGAAAAAAGAATGCGGTGTCGATAGCTGCAAGTCAAAACATCATGCGCTTCTACATAAAAGCGACCCGCTAGTAAGCAATGCACCGGCAGTTCAGTCAGAGCGAAATGCACCATATCTAACAGTGAATAAGCAGTTGGTGAATACTCATACAGATGTCGAAGAAGAAACTTCACCATGCTTTCGCATTATACCTGTACGCATTTATTCGAAAACTAAGTCAATAGATACCTTCGCTTTCTTAGATGAAGGATCTTCCGTCACCTTAATGGAACAAAAAATCTACGATTCGCTGGATCTGTGTGGGGTACGAGAAACGTTGTGCCTTCGCTGGACTGGCGAGAACTCGCGAATTGAAAATGGCTCGATTAGAACATCGATCGAAATCTCTAACGCAGACCACGGCACGAAATACAATATAAACGAAGTGCACACCAGTGTTGCCGTTTTAGCCCTTTGGTGGCTAAATTTGGCTACCAAATTCTTTTTTTGGCCACAAAAATTTGAAATTGCCCCTAGCCCTTTTTTTAGCCCTTTTCATTTAATCATTTAATCATTCGCTCATAAATTTTTGATTCTTTATTTTAAATCTTAATCCAACACATTTGGATACACAACATTTTTTGTTTTTCCATCTTGGGTATGAATAAATAAACAATTTGGAAAGCCAACTCTTGGACAGGCCACGTATAGCTACCAATTCCAGTAATCTACCACAAATATTTCAAGAGATATACCAGATGAAAATTTTTGTTAGTATGGGTGGTGCCACGCCCCCTTTTCCGAATTCAGGGAAACCTAACACAAACCATCTGCATAATAGCCCGACTATGCCGTATAAATTTGGTTGAAATCTTGCACTTATTCTTTTTATATAAGATGGGAGGTGCCACGCTCTCTTTTCCAATACCGCCCATTTTTATCCATGAGTATGGAATTATTTGTTATACCTCTATACCAAATTCCAGTACTCTACCACAAATATTTCAAGAGATATACAACAAAAAAATTTTTAGTTAGTATGGAAGGTGCCACACCCCCTTTTACGAATTCGGGAAAACTTCACATAAACCATCTGCATGATAGCCTAAGTATGCCGTATAAATTTTATTGAATTCGGTGAAGCCGTTCTCAAGTTATAAACTCACACCAAAAACGTGTACTNTATGCCACGCCCCTTTTCCAAATTTGGGCAAACTCCGCATAAAATATCTGCATGATGGCCCGAATATGCCGCATAAATTTGGTTGACTTCGGTGAAGCCGTTCTTAAGTTATATTGTCACACCAAAAACGTGCACTTATTTTTATATATAAGATGTAGGTAAAATAATTTAGCTACCATTTTTAGCCACAACGACGATTTTTAGCTCTTTTTTAGCTGGAATTTAGCTACCACTAAAAACGTTTCGCGGCAACACTGGTGCACACAGTCCAGCGGCTGGGCCTACCTAGCCAATCGCTCAACATGGAGAAAATTGCGAAGAGGTATTCATACTTGCGCGGCCTTCCTACAAAATCGTACGAAAACGCAAAGCCAACCATCCTAATCGGAGCCAACTGCTGGAAGCTGGCCGTACCAATAAAATCTCGCGAAGGCGACTGGTTTGAGCCGATTGCAACGAAGTGTCGCCTGGGATGGACACGGCAAGGGAGTACCGTCAATCACTGTGGCCCGCAAAAATTAAATATTCATACATTGACAACGCACTAAAGCGCTTTAATTGTATGCAAAGGAAGTTGGCCAGAGATACGAACCTGCGTCGCAACATGCAAGAACAAATTAACAACTTGTTGGTCAAGGGCTACGCAAGAAAGCTGTCAATCGACGAAGTAAATATCTCAACGGATCGTGTGTGGTACCTACCGATTTTTATCGCGCTCAATCCTAATAAGCCCGGAAAGGTGCGACTAGTGTGGGGCGCGGCTGCTAAGTTTAATGGAGTTGCTCTCAACGATTTTCTCGTTAGTGGTCCGGACCTTCTGAACTCGCTCACTGATGTATTAATAGCGTTCAGAATCGGGCGAGTGGCTATTTGTGGAGACATCGCTGAAATGTTCCACCAGATAAACTTTAGAGATGCTGACATGCATGCCCAGCGTTTTCTGTGGAAGGACAATCACGAGGAGTTGGAAAATCCGGACATCTACGTCATGCGTGCGCTTACCTTCGGTATTAGCTGCGCTCCATGTTTCGCGCACTTCGTCCGTGACATAAATGCCAAAAAATACGATAAAATATTTCCGCGAGCTGTCGAAGCCATACAAAAGTACCACTATGTGGACGACTTCATTGATAGCGTCGATAGCGAAGACGAAGCATTACAACTAGCAATACAGGTTAAAAGAATTCACGCTGAAGCCGGATTTCACATCCGCGTCGGATGGGCGTCGAACGCACCGCTTGTACTCAAACAGCTCAGTGACGATATCGCTGCAACTCAACCCCCTAAAGGAATGGGCCATACGGAAAAAATACTAGGTTTGTATTGGGGCCNAATTGGGCGTCGAACGCACCGCTTGTGCTCAAACAGCTCAGTGACGATATCGCTGCAACTCAACCCCCTAAAGGAATGGGCCATACGGAAAAAATACTAGGTTTGTATTGGGGCCCAGATAATGATGTTTTTAAGTTTATTTGCAGATTCTCTAAAATGCGACGAGATATCTTGCAAAGCGACGTGGTACCGACGAAGAGAGAAGTTCTCCAGATTTTCATGTCCATTTTCGATCCCCTTGGATTCTTAGCACATTACACCGTCGGGTTGAAAATACTGTTGCAAGATGTCCATTTTCGATCCCCTTGGATTCTTAGCACATTACACCATCGGGTTGAAAATACTGTTGCAAGAAGTATGGCGCTCTTGCATCGGATGGGACAAACCGCTTCCAGAACAGCTCTACAAACAATGGTGTCTTTGGAAGACATTATTGCCAGCAATATCAGTCACAACAATCCCACGTTGCTATTCGCCTCTCCTAACAAATTCTAAGTGTAACCAACTCCACACATTTGTGGACGCCGGTGAGCACGCATACGCCGCCGTTTGCTATATACGGACTCAGTTCGGTAACAAAGTCGACACCATTATAGTTGCTGCCAAATCGAAGGTTACCCCATTGAAGCCAGTATCGATACCGAGGCTCGAATTACAAGCCGCGGTAATCGGCGTGAGGTTGGCAACCACCGTTAAAGCAGCGCTGAGAGTGCCGATACATGCTCGATTCTGGTGGTCGGACTCCTAAAGTGGCTGCGCATGGATCCCAAAAACTTTAAGCCGTACGTAATGCATCATATAGGCGAAGTGCTCGAGACGACAAACGCCACTGATTGGCGTTGGGTTCCGTCGAAGTTAAACCCCGCCGATCTGGCGACAAAGTTCAACACACAGCACGGCTCCGAGTTTTGGATATATGGACCAAAGTTCCTATTATTCGAGCAAGCGGAGTGGCCGACGTGCAAAGACCTTGGTGCAGCGGAGCACACTGAGTTNAAAAACTGTCCTAAAGTGGCTGCGCATGGATCCCAAAAACTTTAAGCCGTACGTAATGCATCATATAGGCGAAGTGCTCGAGACGACAAACGCCACTGATTGGCGTTGGGTTCCGTCGAAGTTAAACCCCGCCGATCTGGCGACAAAGTTCAACACACAGCACGGCTCCGAGTTTTGGATATATGGACCAAAGTTCCTATTATTCGAGCAAGCGGAGTGGCCGACGTGCAAAGACCTTGGTGCAGCGGAGCACACTGAGTTACGACACTGCGTTCTGCATACGACTAAAAGTACTCCTGAACACCCTCTTCTCAATGCAGAGGATTTTTCGACATGGCGACGCCTATATCGTGTGTTTTTTTTTGTTTTTTTTCAACGGAGGGGGAATCTTCCAAAGATGTTATGCACGATTCGTCATCCTGTCCGCTAAGGGTGCACCTCATTCGGGACCACGCCCAGACTATGTTATCACATAATTCAGGACTTGCGAGACAGCGCGCCTACGTACTAAACCCTTAACTCCGACGTCTGAAGCCTTGTGTTTCGCCTTGCGGGACCGCCGTTAGGTATTACGTCGCAAGGCGTAGCTTTGCCAATTGGCTCTTCACACACGCCTTTCTGGCTTATCTCTCGTTCAGTCTTCTCTTTTCGCTACTGCGCTGTCTTTCTTTCGCTCTTAGCTCCTGGAGGACTATTGCGGACCACGCCTTAATTCTGCTCAACACCGCTTTGGAGTTTATCATGTGCCCCACGATATTGTCAGGCGTCATGCTCTCCTTTA